AGGCTCTCCAGGAAGCAGTGATTCCATCAAGTCATCATGACATGGTACATAAAGAGGCACACATAAATGCTGCCTCCTGGGATGTGTACTTCTGCTGCAGCAGCCTTCTGCAAAGAGCATCACTACCATGTGCTCACTCATGTGTTGCTCCGTGACCCTCTTAGTCAGCTGCCTTGTTGAAGAGTGCACTACATGTCTTGAATTGACAACAAAGGTCCATCACATGGCAGTCTGATGCAGACTTACCATGTTGAATTGACATAGCACTCATATTGTGACTAAAACTGAGGAAAAGAAATCATCTTCAGGCTTTTATTTTTAAACACTCTGTACTCCTGGAGTAGCATGTTACAAATTTCTGTCATTTCTGTTTGTGCTATTGATTAGTATTTGAAAAGGCAAAGATACACTAAGAATTCTCCCGTCTGCTGGCTCACTCCACATATGCTTACAGTATCCAGGGCTGGAAGCTGAGGCTCTCTGACCTAGGTGCCAGGGACCCAAGGGTTTGAGCCAATCCTGTTTCTTCCCAGTGTGTGCACCAGCAGGAGGAATCTATGATGGGAAGTGGTAATTGGACGCAAACGCAGGCCTTCTGATGTGGGCTGTGGATAGCCCAGTTGGCATCTTAACTGCTGCACCAAGACCTGTCTCCTGTGAGTTTATAGATCACATTTTCTTTTTGATTAAGTTCCTGTGGCCTTGTTTTTCTTGCCCAGGATTAATTTCTCCTGTACTTTCTCTCTGTGGACCAATACATGATTTGTGAGACTCCTTTTAGAAGAACCTTAAAAATAACATCGAAGTCTTAACCATTCCAGAAAATCATTCCTGCATCTAATGTGCACAAAAATAAGTTTATGTATTAATATCACAAGTTAAAATCATATTTGCTAATTAGTAATAAAAGACTGAGTCTGGCTCACTTTGGTTTCACAGTAAAATCCTAAAGTATCAAGAGTTGAAACTGATTTTTTTTTTCGTGTGAAATGTCAAATTTTTATTTCTTTCAAAAGCAAACAAACAAAAAAACCCAAGTATTAGCAGCATTGTGTGCAGATCTGTATCTGACGGTGGTCAGCTGATGCTGAAACATGCCTGTCACCTCAGATGAAGGAAAAAAGCTTTCCATCTAGCAAAGTCCTCACATCTCCCTACTTGTTAACACCCTCTTTGCTTTAGACATTTAAAGCTCCTGCAATGGGGCTTACAAATTGCCAGTCAGAATAAATTGGCACAACTCAAATGAAAGGAATTTTGACAATACCTATCAAATTGCAAATGTGAATATCCTTTGACCAACCAATTTACTTCCAGAAATTTATTTTTGTGCTCCTGTTTCTGCAAAATGACGTAAGAAAAAGGTTATTCATCGAAGCATTGTTTATAATAGTGAAGGATTGGAAACCTGCTCAGAATGGGAGACAGTTTAAACAATACTGTATGATATGTTGTATCACATGAAAGAAGAGCACATAGCTATGGAGAAAAGAATGAGAGAGGTATGCATTAATACGGAAAAATGCCGAGATATATTATCAAGTTAAGAGTGGTTAATAAAGAGCAGTGGGCATAGTATTAGATATGTGTCTTGCCAGTGTATGCATAAAACATATCAGGAAGAATGCATGAAAGGCCTAAAACATTGATTGCCTCTGGGAAGGGAGCCAGTTCTTTGGGTGACAAGAGTAAGAGGGCTCATTTTTACAGAATATTTTCTTGTACTTTTCCTTTTTAAAACCATTTGGTTGTACTACCTGTTTATTAAAAAAAAAAAAAAAGTAAATTTCCTGCCTACAGGATCCCTTTAGGCAGTTGTATTTTTTATGCAATATATGCACACAGTGAACAATAAAGGTGTATGCCTTATCCAATTCAACTCTTTTTTTTAAATTTCAGGATTAATAATGTTTTGTTTGTAATTTCAAAGGCAACCTGGGTTTTGAAATAGTTACTCTCACATTTTTGTTGTTTCCCATCTCTATCCTTAAATTATGCATGCTTTGAGCCTTCTTGAAATCGAGAGTATCTTGTGCCATACTAGTTGGAGTAAATATACTTTCAATTAAAGGTGCTAAGTATGAGCATGAAAAGATTAGTTCTTTGTTAAAGGATGACCTTCAGCGGTTACATCCAATTAGGCATTTTTCCAAATATATCTCATGTTGATGGGGGGGCAAGCCTACAACTCACAGTCAAGCACTGTGATCTTTATAAAGCGAGTATTTTAGGAGGAGAGTTGTAAAAGATTGAGTAGGCAGCCCCCAAAACTTGAATCACAGTTGTTATAGTCTGCAGATTGTGCATATTGGTATACTGCATTTTTATGGCTCACTTCTCATGCCTGTGATGGAACATACTACACAACAGTGTTTACGAAAAGAGAGGGCCAGACAAAAAGAGTGACAGAATTCATTCGATTGCTCCTTCTGTTATTGTATTTTAAATATTGTATAGAGATTTGCTTTCCAACTGATTGGCTTTTCTTGTTGGAGTGCTTTAGTTCTAATTTAACCTTTCTTCCCATCTAGTACACACAGCAAAACTATTGAAGAAATGAATGCTTGCTGATCATTTTGTTTATGGTAACGTGTAAAAGTCTTTAAACAGTATTGTTTTCTCTGAATCATGAAAGTAAAGGAACATTTCTATTTGCACTAAATGTTTCCAATATGGAATTATTGGCTTCCACTCTGCCACTTGCTAAGTTTATGAACTTGATAAAGCCATTGAATTTTAGTGACCTAAACATAGACGAGCAGCTAATACCTACATGTTTATCTCAAAGGCTGATCATTACAACCAACTGAGACATATTAGGTATTTACACAAGGATGATACCAGGCTACCCCTTGAATAAACAGGTTCTTGGATGCTCAAGTCCCCCACGTACTTTCTTTTTATTTAATAGGTTTATTTATTAATTCATATGAAAGGCAGAAAAGCAGAGACGTAGAAAGCGTGACAGCTTAACCTATGCACAAAATCTGCCCTGTAATTTCCTTTGACAAAATGATGTAGTGCTTACATATAACCTATGCACATCTTCCTGTATGCTTTAAATCATCTCTCAATTACTTATAATACCTAATGTAATATAGTTATTGTATCGTCCATAGGATAATAAGGAAAATGTCTGTATGTTCTCTACACAGATACAGCTTTTATCAGCATTTGATCTATAGTTAATTGAAACCAGATATAGTATCTACAGATATATAGACTTTTATAATAATTTTAAGAGATAATTTTGCCTCTTTTGCTGTCCTTTTTAACACATTTGCAGAGGTTTTTGGGCGGCTGACAATATGACATTTGTCAATGTACCAGGTTGCAGAGGCAACTGTAAGAACCTGTGTATCCTAAACCAGACATTAAGGAAGTTCACAAAAATATAAATTTAAGGAACTCTCTGTACTGAGTTACTTTCCTTTTGGAAAGGGAAAGCTGTCTTTTATTTAAAATGTGTATCTTAACTGCAGTGGTTTTAATTGTTATTTTCAAACAAAAAAGGGGTCCTCCTCAATACATTTTTAAAGGATATACAAGGCTCCGTGCATTCAGAAAGTTTGAGAAATCCACATAATGAAAGTTTTGTGTCTATGGGTGGTGACATCAGTAGTTGAAGGAACTACAGGCTGTGTAAGTGGGGTGTGTTCATGGCACACCCCATTACCGAGGCAGTGATTGTGTCTGGATCCTGCAATCGTCTCTCAAAACTCTGTCCATATCTGCCGTTTCCTGTGTGGTTCTCCTATCTATTGAAGTCCCCTGATCCCATTCTAGCTTCCAGAAGAACAGTGACAAACATGGAGAACAAAGGTGGGAGATATTGGATGTGTTAAGGCTTGGGCTCATGTGAGTCCTCAACACTCTACTTCTCTCTCCTATCTAATGAGTAAATGTCCGACTCAGGCCTGCCTTTCTGGAAAACAGGGTTTTCTCAGTATGCGCCATGCCTTTTGCATCTGTCTGGGCTTGTCTGCTCTTGAGTATGGTAGGTGTGATGTGGTAGAACATAAAGAGCTGAGATGAGGTGGCAGACTGGGAGACAAGGCAGTGTTTCAGAGTGCGGAAGCTTCAGGACCATAGAGGACCTGCTGAGTCTCACCTGGCACCAGGAGAGTGATGTTCAGTGCATCTCTGACTCTAGATGCTTTCAGTAGCTGATCTCATATTTGAGTTCTGATGGGAATTACTAGTTGATATTTTTCGCTACAGTTTCATAAAGCATCCTTACTAATTTGAATTCCAACATCTATTCTTATTAGAGTGTAAAAAATTTTTTTCTACTTATAGCTGACTGTCCCTTATTATCATTTCTTGGAATTCAGTCAACAGAATGCTTGTATCTTAGAGATTTTTTTTCCTATCTAAGCAGTATCATTTAATGTTTTTAATTATTTAGTATAGCATATATGTATTCATTTTATATAAACATTTTGCATTTACTTCAGGTTTTTATATATTTAATGAGCTGTTTCACAACATTCATGGATTCTTGGTATTCAAGTAAAAATTTTCACTTTCAAAACTATAATTTGGGTTAAGTGTTTTGTTGTATGATTTAATGTTTCGTGTTTTTTTCTTAACTATCATTAACACAATATGCCTTGCTTGAGTTTTAAAATTTATTTGGTAATTTTTTCCATGGGAAAAACACATTGGATAACATATATTTTAGACCAGATGGCTCTGAGATTTTAAACTGTAAAGTGATTTGATTGTGAATTAATGTGTAGATTTTATAATGAGAACATTTTATTTCTGAGAATTTTTTAACATAGGCATGTTCATGTAAGGTACTTTGAATCAATTAATCAGACTTTTCATTCACTGTTATTGTAACCGTGTATTCTAATTGGGATTCTTATTTGTAAGTAACCAAAAAATATAAAACATTTTCTGCATGTTAGTAATATCATAAAAATTGGAATACATTTAATTTGATTAAATTCTGCTTCATTAGATTTTAATGTGCTATATGTTATATATTTCAGAAACTCCAGAAAGGAGCTTAATGACATACGATTTGAGTTTACTCCAGGAAGAGGTAAGTTTTAATTGAAATTAATATGTCAGCTATGTTTCTGAAAGTGATTTCACCAAGCATGTAGTTATAATGTGCACTCCATAGATGCTTATGAAAAGGAAGGGAGACAGAAGTGAAACGGAAGGAAAGACTTCTGATAATTCTAGAGTCCTAACTGAACCAGTGCTGACTACATGAATCCCAGGGACATGTACTGCGCAGTATAATACATATATAAATTAGATATAGTAGCCCAGCCATGGCAGTAAGTACAGCATGGTGAAGCAGGCTTAGGGAAACTGGAATGAGTATGATGAGAATTCAGCAGTCCCATTGAGGGTCTGCACAGCGAGCAATGGGATAAGGAAAAGATAACATGCTTTGTCTGTCTGTTCTCATTTCTACTTACAGGAAGCCTCTACTGGAGAGGAATTGTTATATTTGCTGTAGATGCCAAGGTAGATTTGGTACAAACAATGCCAGTCTTGCAGCTGAATGCAGTTTGAGTATTTTAAATAAGTTATTACAACTGCTTATGGGCTGTCCTGGCTGCTCTTTCAGCTGCTGGATGCCTGGAAATCATAGAAGCCTGTGTAATTCTTTTTTATTGTCTCTCACACCTGGCAAAGAGTCTGACATTGAGGAGAACATCAAGAAATCTTAGTTCGGGGCAGGTGTTTGGCACAGCAGTTAGGACTCCAACTGGAATATCCACATCTGATATTAGTGTATCTGGATTTGTGTCCTGGCTCTACTGTTTCCATCTTCTTGCTAATGTATACCCTGGGAGGCAGCAAGTCATGCATCTGGGAGTGCATCCCTGCCACCCATCTGGGAATGAGCCAAAACCAATTAATAGGAGATCATTCTGTCTGTCTGTCTGTTTCTCTCTCTCAACATATCTGCCTTTCAATTAAAATGGAAATAATGCAATCTTGGATAATTGATAGATGAACAGCATATACAAGTTTGAAGAGTTTTGCAAGACCCAGTTTAGTTGTTAACATCATAGGGCCCAGCACTGTGGCACAGCAAATTAGGCTACCCCTTGTTATGCAGACACCCCGTTTTGGAGTGCTACATTGAGTCCTGGCTGTTCCAGTTTCAATCCACCTCCCTGCTAATGTCCCTGGGAAGGAAAAAAAAAAAAAAGTGGTGCTCATGCTGCTACCATTTGAAAGGGAGACCCAATGGAGCTCCTGGCTTTAGCCTGGCCTATAACTGGCCATTGTGGCTACCTCTGTCTCTCCCTCTCTGGCGCTCTGCCTTTAAGAATCACTAAGTCTTTAAAAAAAGATTCTGTTGCCACTATTAAATTTAATCTATACTTCTGTACCACAAAGGTATAAAATTCAGATTCTAGTGTTTTAAGACTATAACTTTATCCCCTTAAACTGTGGTTTCTAAACACATGACTTCTATACACATGAAAATACCCCAATTTTTATATTGCATACCTTTCTAAAATATGTTAATCTCTAAAATTCAAATTTATTAATGTTTGTAAGATGATAATACTCTCATTTGAATGTATTAACATTACTACTATATGTTTTAATTTTATTAAAGAGCATTTCTAACTTGATAGCTGATCAGGAAATTGCCTTGAGTGCCTTATTCTATCACTTGCAAGAAGACACAAACCCATACCTCCTTGAAAGCCAAAGTGACTGGTGGACAGTGTGAGGGAAACTGGAGAGATTTTTCTAAATATGCTCATCCTCATCTTTGTTTTTTTGTTTGTTTGTTTGTTTGTTTGTGTTGACAGGCAGAGAGAGTATGTTATTTGCATTTTCTGGCTTGTTCTTGAAATGCCCACAGTGGCTGGAGCCAAGCCAAGCTGAATGTCAGTGCTGGACACTCAGACCTGACGACCCAGGCAGTTTACACTCGAGTTGTCACTTGCAGCTTCCTGGGGTCTATGTGTTAGCAGGAAGTAGGAGTTGGCAGCAGAGCCAGGACTTGATCCTCCAGGTACGATGATATGTACCCAGTTGGCAGGTAAACTGCTAAGACAAACAACCCATACCCATGTTCAAAAAATGCCACTCTACCGAATTCTTTCCTGGGTTTTATATGGCCATAGACTCTCTGGTCCCTGATCTTTAGTCTTTTGTAAATGCCAAGATTTTATGACTGCTAGTATATTTAAATTAAAGCAAAATAATGTAGTGTCTGTTACAAAATAAATGTACCCGAGACCATCATAAACTTGTTCATCAATCTTTCTGAGAATATTCAACTTTGACACTTTAGAGTCAGTCTTTGAATTTGTGTAACATCAAGTAGCAAGATTAAAAAGCTATCTTATTCTGTCATAACATAGATATATTGGTCAGGCAATGCTGTGATAAAAATACACATACTGGTGGAATAAATGTTTTAAGTCTAGTAAGAAGAAATAATAGATTCCAACCTAAGGTTTGTTTTCTTTGCATCTAATTGTCTAAAATGAACTATGACAATGAAAATCAATTTAAATTTTTAAGAGCTACCCAGGAAGCACATTTCGGGATAAGATGACCTTGTCTGCCTTACTGGACCATTTGTCCTGGCTTTGGCTACTCCATTTGGGAAGCATAATGTCAGAGGTCCTGCTTTCTGTTGCTCAAACAGATCCCACAGCATAGCTTGGGAGGGGTTGCAGATGGCCAGCCTTCCCTGTGCCTCCCTGGGTGCCTGTGCAGACTGATTGCTAATGAAAGCTCTGTGTCTACCACTGTGATCCCCAAGCTGCTGCTACTCAGACATTGTCTGCAGTAACTCTGTGTGTGCCTACCCTGTATACTGCAAATATGTGAGGAAGTCAATGCCATTAGGTATGTAACAAACACATGAAATATCCTCTGTCCTCCTTTAAAGGAAAGCCCTTTTTGTGTCTGTGCTCTGGAAGCCAGACATTGCTGTATGAATATTTAACCTACTTACAAACCAAGAATGTTAACTAGCTTAAAAAGTACCAGTGAAACATGAAATAACTGAATTTCACATTTCACTTATGAACCATTACTGATATCTTACATGCATACAAATCACTGCCTGCTGATAGATATAAGCTATTTCCAATTCTGGCGAACCAGGGAGACTTTGCTGCTTGGCTATGACTCAACTAATGATTAACTATCTTGAAAAACAGTAGGAGACATGTCTCACTTTGATCACTTGAGAATGTCAGTCACTGTGGTATTGTTTTAGTAATACCCTCAGTGTAGCTTTTTTTTTTTTCAGCTGCTACTGAGCGTCCGTCCAATTCACTCACGTGTGCATTTGGGAACCTTGTTTTATATCCTAAACGTTATTTTCAACCCTAAAACTCTGGTTTTCTAAAAAAAATATATAGATATTCTATCATGATTGTTTTCTCACTCCAGTTATAACACAACAGAGGAATTTAACCAAGTAGCATGCGAGCATCTATTTGACACAGAACTATCCAGTGACAAATATCCTCACACAACTCATCAGGCTGGCTCCTGAATCCAACCTGCTGGTCACAAATCCCAAAATAGTTAACCAGACATGCTTGCACGTTCTTGTACTCCTCAATCCACAAAGCAGGCATACGCAGGAGCTCAAGTTTTAATGACTGATTTTGGATAAGAATGAAGACGCAAGAGATCAGAGCCCAAAGCCGCAAGAGCAGACTCCCCGAATACGAAGTCTGCCAGTTATTCTCATAGTCTTGGTTTGTCCTCTGCTGTGACATTTCATCAGCTGCTTAGCAGAGCTTTCAGAATTCTCTAAAATCAAGTTATTCTGAAAAACAAAAAATCTGATATGGTAGCTAACAACTTTTTCACAATTAATCTTAACACGACCTTACATGTAAAACTCTTATATACACTATCTTTCCGTCGCTACTCAGTTCTTTATTTAATATCTTTTTTTTTATTGTTGTTAACATTGTATTATGTGATACAGTTTTATAGGCACTGGGGATTCCCCCCACCCCTCCCATACCCCTCCCCCCATGGTGGATTCCTCCACCTTGTTGCATAACCACAGTTCAAGTTCAGTTGAGATTCCTTCCTTGCAAACACATACCTAGCATAAAGTCCAGCGTCTTATTGTCCAGATAAGTTCAGTGGCCTCTTGGGGAGACCTTCTCTGGTCTGAAGATAGGGCTAACAGAGTAAAGATCCGGTCAGTTAAAAGCCCCAACAAAACCTCAGTATCAATATACAACATTATGGAATTAATTGACATAGTATTGGGTAAACAATATGTTAAAAATAATGCAAGTTCCATTCTTCAAAACATCTGGGTTGAGACAGTATCAATGACAGGTTCAAAAAAATAACCAACAACCAAACAAAAATTACAAGTTAAATCAAGGCAAACATGTGGTATCTAACCTTTTTTAAAAAAAGATTTATTTAGTTTTATTTGAAAGGCAGAATTACAAAAGGGAAGACAGAAAGGGAGAGAGAAAGAAGTTTTACATCCACCAGCTCGCTTTCAAAGTTGCTCCATCAGCCAGAGCAGAGCAGTTCCAAAGCCAGGAGCCAGGAACTTCGTGGAATAAATGTGTCTTGGAGGGTGTGGGGGCTTTGACTATTTCACCTGCAGCTACACTCTGTGATTGTAGCTCCGTATGCTGGTGTAAGGTCCAATTGGTGCTTTAGAGCGGGTGGTAACGTAGCACTGTGCTTTTTTTTTTTTTTAAAGATTTATTTTTATTATTTTTTTATTGGAAAGGCTGATATACAGAGAGGAGAGACAGAGAGGAAGATCTTCCGTCCAATGATTCACTCCCCAAGTGAGCCCAACGGGCCGATACTATGCCGATCCAAAGCCAGGAGCCTATTCCGGGTCTCCCACGCAGGTGCAGGGTCCCAAAGCTTTGGGCCGTCCTCAACTGCTTTCCCAGGCCACAGGCAGGGAGCTGGAAGGGAAGCGGGGCTGCCGGGATTAGAACCGGCGCCCACATGGGATCCCAGGCGTGCAAGGCGAGGACTTAACCACTTGCGCCACCGCGCCGGGCCCAGCACTGTGCTTTACCAGATGGGCAGTTGGTGGAGACCTAGTACTGTCTACTGTATGCCAAGAGTTGCTAGGCTAGACACCTTAATCCAGTCCCAGGGTGAGATGGCTATGAAGCTGAATGTTCTAGCAGCTTCAGAACGCTTAAGCCCAGTTAGAGCAGAACCTTTCGATCATATTGCCCTTTGTTGATGATAGGAGATCATTTTATCATGAAGAAAAGTTCATACACTGTATTCTGTGTATTGGGTGAGGACAGATCCCAAGACTGGCTGACGTTATATGGACCCTCACAATTTAATAAGAATTTCATACATGTCTTTTCTCTTGACATAATTTTGTCCCACTTTGTTATATCTCATTATGAAATAAAATCAACAAAATGTACAATACTACAACTTCTCCAGAAATATAGAGAATATACATTGAGTCTCAAGTTTTTATTGCTGATTTTGGAAGTGGAGCCCCATATGTTTAAAAGAAAAGAAGTACACAAAAACAAAAGTTTAAATGCATTTTAGGTGATCACTGGGTACTGCTTCATCATCTGTTGCCATTTGGCATAAAGTTTCATAACTCAAGAATTATGACGTGTACATTTAGCCAAATATTTATGTGCTTGAACAAACACACACACACACACACACACACACACACACACACACACACACACACAAGCACACAGGATCGTTTGTGGTCACCAGTTCTGAAGCAGAGGTTAAGTAAGGAAACCAGGGTTGTATTGAAGGTGCATTTTGGCATAACAGATTATAATTGACTATAGGTGCTTGTTTGATTCAGTAGCTGTTCCTTCAGAAAATCCCTGACTTTGCAAGACATGTCAAACTACCATGTGAATTGTCACAGCCTGCTTAGCCAGTTTCTTCTCATCCTCCAGCATTTCTGAATGCCCGAAGACCGTGGGGACTGAGTGTCTCCCTTGGGGAAATACAGTTACAGTGGTTCTTTTGTGCACATTGCAATTTATCAATTTCTTTTTACAGAGTTTTAAAATGGAAGATAACAGCATTATCATGTTCATTCATAACATTTCAATTAAGTAATTTCAGCTCTATTCACTTGCCATAGCCCCTTTCAGGGCCATCTTTATGAGATTGCTAACTCCTGTCACTTACCATTGAGAAACTACATTATTTTATTCAGCCACATTTTCTAGGAGAATGAATCTGTTGCTGTGAAATGATCAATGTCATGATAAGGGAATTTCTTAACAGTGTAAAATTTGAATAGCCCATCTTAAATTCAAGAAGCTCATTGGGTGTTTATATCAAATAAAAGATCCTATCAGATGCTACCCATTTTGCCGTAAATTCTGACTCAATATCTGCTATTCCTAATAGTAGATATTCCTAATAACTACGATTTCCTAATGGTAGGGGAAAAAAGGGTTGTTGACAGCTGGCAATTACCTTGCAAGAATTTTTTTTTTATGGTAAAGAGGTGTAAATTCCAGGGGTGCATTCGAAGTTCAATTAAGATAGTAGCCAGACAGCAAAACTTTTTGTTCTACCAAAGCTGAAAGAGTGTTTTTGTGTAATTTCTGTTGAATAAGTAGCAAGATACGAATTGCACACGGCACAGTGTCTTACGTTGCTTGAGTTTGTTTTCCTCCTGCTAGAATCTGAATTGCTGAATTAATACTCATGTGGGTAATTTTAGTAAATGAAAAATGTATATTTTCCATTGTACTAGATTGTTGATTTTTCATTTTATGGTAGCTAATACATATTCATTTCACATTTGGACAGATACGGCAGATGGTGTGTCTCAAGAGCTCTTCTCTGCTGGCTTGGTGGATGGTCATGATGTAGTTATAGGTAAATTGTTTTTTAGTATGCAGTGTCATTTGGTTGAATGAATGAAAATGTGTTAGGGGAAAAAGTTTTCATTAAGGAATAATTGAGTCTGGATTTTTGAAAAATTCCTGACTTCCTATTTTTATATGAAAGTATATTTAATGTTCTCAGTATCTCTTAATATAACTGTCTTTTTGTAGTTATAAATGCAATAGCTTTATTCATATTGGTCACAAATTAAAGTAACTTTAATACCATAATATATGTATATAAATATATATTTATTTAAACATGTTTGCTCCTCAATATTTGATGGACATGATTTGTGCAAGAACAAGCCTCACTTACTGGAAATATAACAATGAATCCAGAAGTAAAATTCAAGAGCCATAAAGTCTGAGAAATAAGATGCTGTGAAGTCCACGCTCCAAATTATGATGGAGAGGTTTTCTTGTTTGTTTGTTTGTTTGTTTGTTTTTCCATATTATAGTTTTGCAGGTATAAGGATTCCTGCTCCACCTCTACTTCCTCCCTGACAGGTGGTTCTTCTCTGAGTTTCCTAACCAAGTGTAAGAAAATCCACTCACCTCTGGTTCCTCCTTTTAATTCCGAACTCATGAATTTTTCCTGTTTCTCTAACATTTATTTTTAAAAAAGTAAAAAGCATCTCTGTGTCTTAGTTTAAACTAGGGAGAACAGTTCATGTTGTAAGACATGTCTTCTTTCAAGAGACCGATGGTACATACAAGCAGCCAGAAAGGAAAATGCATTCATGAATGAAAGTAACAGTCAGAAATCTTCTTTTAAATACCCGTTCATATTTCTCATGCAGAAAGATGCTGAGAACAGACTCACCTTTCCTTTTGGGTAGGTCCTGGTAGGTGGTTTGGAACAGAGTAAGAGATAGTCATGCAGAGCTGTGAGGTCACATCCTTCACTATGTCTTGTCTTGCTTAGGTCTGAAGTCAAATTTTGTGGAATTCTTATTGAGCTCCAGGCTTGGCTGAATCTGATAAAAAAAAAAAAACTGTTGTTGAATTTTTCAAAGAAGAAAACAAAGAAATCAGAGCATAGTTCATGTACAATGTATTGATGTTATTTTTAAGTTCAGAAAGGCTTCAAACACCTTGTGGAAATTTTTTATTATCTTCTAATTATATTTTACAAACTTTTTAAAAAAGATTTGTTTATTTATATAGAGAAAGATTTACAGAGAGAAATCTTCCGTATGCTGGTTCACTCCCCAAGTGGACACAATGGCCAAAGCTGAGCCAATCTGAAGCCAGTAGCTTTTTCCAGGTCTGCCACTTGGATGCAGGGTTTCAAAGCTTTGAACCATCCTCAGCTGCTTTCCAGATCTCAAGCAGGGAGCTGGATGGGAATTGGAGCAGCCAGGATATGAATTGGTGCCCATATGAGATCACAGCGCATGCCAGGCAAGGACTTTAGCCACTAGGATACCACTCTGGGCCCATCCACAAATCTTAGAAGCCTCCCTCATAACATGCATATCTCAAAAACTTTTATTTTTTTTTCCTATGTCTGAACTGTTCATTCTCTTTTTAAAAACGATCATTTTCTCTTTTTCACCTTCTTAGAGATTAAATATTCCTATGTGTAAAGTAAGGCAGTAATAAAAATAATTAAAATTTTATATTAGCTTTATTGTATAGTAACATCCAGAATACCTTGCACAAACATCACATATAAGGATTCATAGACAACTTTCACAAATCACATTTATCATTAGCATCCATGAAGGTAGAGCAGATAGATTTTTTAAATCAATATTTAGTGGGTGAAAAACTGAGGTCAGAAGAGATGTCTGAAACATTGCAGTTTGTAGTGGTCCTTGAGTTTGGCCTTTTCACAACAAGCCTTGAGCTTGCCTGTGACCATGACACTACCTTGTTAGAATTTACGTAGAATCTGGATTCTTAGCCTTGAAAAGTAAATCTAGGTAACTGTAAATAATGATGATTTTTATGTCTTCTGGGAAAAAAAAAAATAACGGCCTTTTTTTTTTCCTTTTCTGGATCAATTGATGGCATTTTATATTTTAGTTGTTGTTTGTAAAACAGATACAGTGTGTTCGATCTGGTCTACTGGGACCAATCCCAGAAGCTTGCTACCCATTCCTATATCACCTCATTCCCCCTTTACTAGACGTAGTCCACCAGCATATGCATGTTTTAATTTGTTTATTTATTTTGAAAAAGTTGCCAGAGCAAGAAAGAGCGAGAAATGGAGAGAAATCGCTCCTACCCACAGGTTCACCCCCTCTGTAGAAGGGCACAATGACCAGTGCTTGGCTAGGCCAAAGTTGAGAGTCAGAAGCTCCATCCACTTCTCCTGTGTGGGTGGCAGGAATACAGAACTTGGGCCATCTTCCACTTTTACAGACACGTCAGCTGGGAGCTGGATCAGAAGGGCAGCAGCCACCCACAGTGCCAGGGCTGAATATGTTCTCATTTAACTCACCTTTAAGGAATCGTCATTCCATTTGCCATATACCTATTCATCTCCTTCTACCTAAACTTAGCAAAAGAATGCCTGAGGTGTTTTTCTTTTTTACCTTTTTCTTTTTCAAGGCAAAATGATAAGGAAAGGAGGAGAGAGAAATCTGACATCCACTTATTCACTCCCCAAGTGGCTGGAGTTAGGCCAGGCGGGAACCAAAAGCCTAGGATTACAACTGAATATCCTTTTTAGGTGTGTGAGGCTCAAGCACTTGAGATGCCTTCCACTGCTTTCCCAGGTGCCAAGCCTGTTAGCAAGGAGCTGGATCAGCAGTAGAAGAGCTGGGACTGGAAGCATTGTAAGGGATGCTAGGGCTAAAAAAAAAAAAGTGGCCTCACTTGCCATACCACAACGCCATTCTTTTCTTGCCACCGTTTTTTGAACCTGCTCAGGTTAGATTTTGGGCATCCTCAGTTCACTTAAGTGAGTCTTTTCAGTGGCACATTTAACAACACACTCAGCTGATAGGCAAAAGTAGAGTGAATAGGAGACAGGCTTCTCGGCCTTTTGGCTAAGATCATGTGTAATAGGAGACAGGCAGAGAAATTGCGGTTTAAGGACAACCAGGCACTTAACTCTGAGGTTAATTCTCAGGTCTTCTCCCGCTTGGCCTAGACATAGCCTTGAATGGAGTTGACAGTGCCATTCACCATTGTAAACTTTCTCATTGGGGGGAGTAGGTGCTTAAGCTGCTGCTTGGAGTTCTTGCATTCCGTGTGGTAGAAGTGAATGGGTTGAGTCCCAGCTGTCCTGTCCATTCCTGCAAGGCAGCAGGTGGTGGCTCAAGTGGAGTCTGTGCTGTCAACATGCATAGCCTGGATTGAGTTTCTGCCTTCTGGCATCAGCCTGGCCCAGTCCCAATTATTGCAAGCAAATATTTTGAACAGTAAATCAATGGATTGAAATGTTTTGTTTCTGTCAGCCTGCCTTTCACACAAAATGAGTAAAAATATAAGGAAAATTTTTTCATTTGGCTTTTAAGGGTCCAGCTTCTCATGGGCCTCCCATCTTACTGGTCTTCCCATCTCAGTGTCTGTGAAACTATGAAGGATTCAAGGACTCTTTCTTTGGAATGCTTCTCTAATTGTATACTACTTTAGTAGCCTCATCTGGTTTTGTGGTGTGGAATGCTTTAACTCCCAGATTTAGATGTCTGACCCAAACCTGTCAGTTGAATTCAACTCACACGCTCCCTTTTTAGCATATTTCCTATGAAGGAAACACACATTCCACCTTTACTTTAAAATCTAGCCTCTGGCGTTTTTCCCAACCTGCTCCTCCAGGTCTCTTGTGCTGGGTGGCTGATGTCAGCTTCCTCCTTCCAGGAACCCTGGGAGTGTCACCTGCCTTTCCTTTCTCTCATATTCCACGCCCAGTTCCCTCTCCCCATCCGATACCCCTCAACACATACCTATCCTTATAAAGCCCTTTTCGTGTCATTGAATGCTGACATCCATCTCCTCACTGGTGTCTTTCCTTCAACTTGTTCTCATCCCATCAGCCAGGGAGGTCCAGGTAAAGTAAGCCAGACACAGAGACCACCTGTCCTGGGATTCTGTTTATAAGTGACATGTTCACTGAGTCACAAAGTAGAGTAGTGAGTGGTTCCAGACTAGGACTGAGGAGAAAGAAGAGGGATGCCTCAGGAATGTGGGATTTCTTCTTAGTGTGGTGAAAATCATCTGAAATTGTAAGTATGTGACTACTGAAAAAGCCCTCCAGTTGTACACTTGGAAAAAGGTGAATTGTACATGTAAATTATTTACCAGGTACACAAGTAAGCCATATCACATTGATGCTTTCATTAAAGCTACCTAGTGGATTTCTACGTCTCAATGGCCTGCAGTTCCCTACACTGTGTATTCATTCTGTCACTCCACAGGCTTCTAAATTTCCCCACCAGCCATGCCAGCTTTGCACTGGCTATTCCTCTTACAGGTTATTCCTTCTTGTAAGAACGCACATGCTCACCCCACATGTCCAGGACTGAAATATCACCTCATGGTGGGACTTTTCTTGATCAGCCTGCTTAAAACTGAACCCACTCCTGACTTTCCAGTCTTGTTCCTTACTTTATTTTTCAGTCTAGCTTCTCCCTGCCCAATAGGCTGTGTATTTCATTTGTTTCATTAATTAGACAATAGAGTATTTTCTAGAGGGTACGATTTTTGAAGGCCATGCATTTTATGTTTTGTTGACCACTATGTTCCCAGTGCCCTAAACTGCGTTTCAATTTGCCTTCCATAAAGATATTAGAAACAATTTCCAGTCTGAAACACAGTTATTTCATAACAATTACTTCTGAAACGAAGGGTGCTTTCAGTGTAAGAATCTGATGTTTTAACAATCTTACTTTCAAGATTGCAAAATTCAAGGAGCCTCTGCAAATAGAATGGCTCACTTGAGGAGAGCTGTGCAAGAAAAAAAATAGGCCATTTCATAGAGAGGTTTGAATGATTTTTTAGGTGTGCAATTTTTTTTGGCTTCTATACTATAAAATA